ATTTTCAACTTAACTGCATGTTGATCGATCCTAACTCAAACTCTATAGATGTATAATAGAGAAATTAACAATGAATAATGACAATATCATTATTGATGGATCTATGAGCAGCTATATACTTGAGTCAAGATTAATTTACATTAATGTAACTTATACCATGCATTACTTATACTATTCAATAATTCTATGTATTGTTTGTATTTTCCTAAACCAATAGTTGAATTTAATGTTCTATTTATGTAAATTATGCATGTTAAATTTCAAAGTGATATAATATTTGTACTTAGACAAATGAAATAAATTGTTTTTTAAATTATTTATTTAATGATCAAAAAATAACTGTAATTATGAAATAGTTAAACTACTCCACAAAGAATTATGATCAAAATACAAACTACTCTACAAATAATTACTAACTGGTGTATATATATTATTAAGAGAGTAGATGAATCTCTATATATTATATATATAAAATTCTAGTTGAAAATAAGTCATTAAGAACAATAAATCATCAGCAGTAAGTAATTAACAATGACATAAGCAATATTTGACGAGTGATATGATATATTAAATAGAAAAGGATTACTTGAAGGGATTATTATTTGGGTTATCTTGGACGGAAGATGTCCAGTCCCACAAAGTAGTGGGAAGCGAGGTTGGAAGCATGTTGAGGGAGAGCTGCTGTGAAGGTGATGGGAAACCAGAGATGAACTGCTGTTGCTGTTGATGAATGTTGTCGATGTTGTTGTAGTTGTAGTACTGTTGTTGGTAACTGACTAGCCTGTGCAGATCATCCACAGAAGTAAGGAGAGTGGTAGTATTGTTGGGGACTAAATTAGAGGGGGTACCGGTAGCCTTATTATTCATCAAAACTAGTCCTTGCTGATGATCTTCCAGCGCTGGAGGTACAGGAGGAGGCACGGTGTACACATTATTGTGCTTGGAAAGCCCCAGCGCAGTGGGAACGTCTGAAGTGCTACTGCTACTTCCCTCAGTCTCGGTAGTACTCATCTGCTGCTGGTTACCAGTATATAATTTCTTCTGATCAGATATTTGTTGCCCGGACTGCTTGTATGGCCTGCTGGTGGTGGGCAGACTGCGAGGCAGCGAGGGATGATCTTCCACTCCGGCTCTCTTGTACACGCGGCAAAGTGATATTTCTGTCTGCAAATCATATATAATTCAACAGCGGAGGTTAATGCAAAATCTGAACCCACAAAACAAGATTATACCTAGTTACATACTGATGATAACGTCGATCAATAGATATTCGGGTCTATCCATCGATTGCGTTGATCAAGATAGATAGAAGCAGCAAGTTTAGGCATAAAACAAATTAAGGTCGATATATATATATATATTGATCCTTTTAAATTTTATATAAACTCTATATGAATTATATAATTCCAGGCGAGGCCAGGCCAGGCCAGGATTAAATATTAATTAAGATTTGGGACTTGAAGGTTTTTGAAACAATTAACTTGTGATATCTAGCTTAGCTAGGGTTAGCTATAACTAGTGAAATGAAATTGTTATAAGGAAAGGAGAGGAAACAAAAAGAGAGTTTTTATAAATTTTTATTTGATGGAAGGAAGGAAGGAAGGAAGGAAGGAAGGAAGGATTAATAGTGAGTACCTTTTGGGCGTAGCGTTCGGTTTCGTGGTGGGGCAAGCGATACTCGTTCATGATCCAACTGGTTCGGATGCCTTTGGGAGCCTTTCCCGAGTAGAAGACTAGGGTTTTCTTAAGGCCAATGGATCGAGAGTTCTCCCCACGGATCATCCGGTCCGCTCCGGTTGCCTTCCAATAGCCGGAAGTGGTAACGCGATTGGGTCTATCTCCGTTTCTGTACTTGCGATCCCTAGGCACATAGAAGAACCATTCTTTCTCTCCGATTGCGGCCAACGCTGAGAAGAAGAAAGATCGAAGACATATATGTATATATATATATTGAATTGAAAAAGAAATTAAGAAATTTAGATATGTAGTATAGGAAAACGGAAGAGCGTGCTACAGCTCTATATATATATATATACATATATGTATGATGATTAACTACTCACCAGGAAGTTCCCAAGGGTCATAGCGATATAGATCGAGAAAAGTAATGAGTTCCACATTGAAGCGCTTGCCCTCCACCTTACGGCGAAGGTAGAACTCCACCAGTTCTTCCTCGGTTGGATGGAAGCGAAATCCGGGCATCACCATGTCGTGTTCGTGCTCATCAATATTCTCCTCCTTCTTATTGTTATCGTTCATGGCTGCTGCTGCTGCTGCTGCTGCTGCTGCTGCTTCTGATGTAATTGTTGTTGCTTCCATAAAAACCCAAAGAAAAAAGTATAACCATACTTAATTATTTATACCAATTGAGTGATGCAAGTGGGCTTCCAGAAAATTAACTTATTGTACTATATTATAATTAATTTTTGATACATATATTCAGTTCAAAAAAAAAAAAAGATATATATAATTAAACTAAAATAAAATTTATTATGTACATAGAAGAATAGAGAAAAATTAAGAAAGATCTACACGGAGAGAGAGAAAGAGAGAGAGAGAGGAAGAAAAAGAGGTAATGCGTAAAGGTGTTTAAGATTAGAAAATGACATCTCAAAACAGGACAGTGAGCGGTGGCCCTCACCCATCACCACGGTACCTCTTGACTTCTTATTTTCTACCTTACCATTTTTTATATATGTATATATAATTAATTAATTAATTTTCATCAGCATTTCTTAACATTTGACCTCCATTTTACTAAGTATTATTTATTTAATAAGTCTATATATATATATATACACTGTACTAACTAATTCTTGTTTTAATTCGCTAGCTTCCGGTCACCTAAATGGCTATATATATGCGCATAGTCAACACAAATAATTACCGTTTCTTATGAATGTGTCATATCTTTACTTTACTGTAGAAGCTACTAATTAAAACCGGCTGCCTTAATTAAACGCAAATTAATTAATTAGAATTTCTTACATTTGATATAATTAATTAATTGCATGTGTAGTTTTTTCAAGTTGAAGGTGTGCATGCAGGTAGTATTTAATTTGTAGATATAATTAATATTGTTAAGTAATGGTGACTAGCTAGGTTAATTAACTATATATATATATTTTATATTATATATTCCCTCTATTCATTTTTAGTATATCTAGTTTAAATATTTTATTTTTTAGACATAAATTTTAGATAAAAATTTAAAATATTATATAAATGATAATTAAAATTTTTTTTATCAAATAAAAAACTCAACAAGTAGAAGAAAAAGTTTTTCAATTGTTATTTATATAAATCATTAAATTTTAATTTAAAATTTATGTCTAAAAAATCCAAAAATTAAATTAAATTAAACCTATTAAATATGAACAAAAAGAGTATTACACACATGTGGTGTGGGGCTTGGAGTGAGCAAAATTTTCTGGCATAGCATATATAGGTGGGGGATATATGGATATGGGATGAGTTGGAACTTGGAAGTGAATGAATTGATGAGTCAAGAGAAACCCGTGACCAAAGGCCCGCCCTTCTCTTCTTAACTTATTCACAACTACTCATATCTCTTCCTTTATTTTCCTTTTGTTGTTTTCGGTACTGACCCTCATCCTCACCCCTCACCCTCATCCTTATGATTAATATATTAATTAAATTCCATCCGTCCATCTCTCAGCTGAAATTAATTAAACAAGAAATTAAATTATATATAGTTGCATATAAATATTGGTTAATATATATTTTAGTATGTAAATGAATTAATTAAGAATAATGGTTAGTATATATACATTTTAATTTAATATACTGCATAACACACTAGTTACCTTGACT